TCACCCAAGAAGGTAAAGTTGATCTGCAGGAAACAGGAGACCCTGGATATCCAGTCACTGAGACTGGATGACGTCTTAGGCAATTACAAATTTTTCCATTTCGCTGGAGCCCGGCATGGGGGTAAATTGTTCTGTAAATGTTGTTGTTGTTTAGTTGTTTGGTCTATTGCAACCCCATGGACTGTAGCCAACCAACTTCCTTTATACGTGAGATTTCCCAGGCAAGAATACTGGAGTGGGTTGCTATTTCCTTCTTCAGGGATCTTCCTGACCCAGGGATGGAACCTGCCTCTCCTGCACTGGCAGGAGGATTCTTTACCACTGACCTGCTAGAGAAGCCCCTCTGTAAATGCATATTAAGTGATAAATTTGCAAACACCAGAAATCAAAATACCAATTTAGCCTAGTGTTTTGCATGGACTATAGCTGTGTCTGAGCTAATAGCTGAAAGGGCAAATGAAACAATTTGCGGCTATCCCTTTTGGGTGAAGTCAGAAAGGAGTTATAGCTATAGGCTTAACCTTAGGTGAGGGAGGAGGCTACCTATAGAAGGAACCAAACTCTTGGCATAGAGAGGTGTCAACAAAAAATGAGATATTAAAAGAAGATATTATTGTTTATATTTTGCTCTGGGCTCATTCCACTGAGTTCTTGGAAGTAAATGGAATATTAATCTTTGCCTTCCTCACAAGAAGTCCAAAGCAATCAGGAAGAATTAGATATTTTTTTAAAAAGTGTACAACTTTTAAAACATAATTCAGTCCAGTCTTAATTTACTCACTGAAGCCTCAGCAATTTGTTAAGGCATGGTGGTGTGGATTTTTTCTTACTAGTTGTAAGAAAATCTCAGGGCTGGTTTCTCTCTGCTCACATTAGGTACAGGTCTCTGGGCACACACTGGACTGTGTTAAAAATAATTTGATCTAACTGAGGTTCATTTGATAGTCTCTAAAATATCTTTCAGGTCCAAGGTTCCATGATCACTGTGACATCATACCTTTTAAAAGCAGTAATTCCTGGGATGTCAAATGTAATGCAAGTGCCTAGATTTCTGAGAATCTGGTGTGATGAGTGCCTTCAGACAATTAGCCATATTTATAACATACTTTACTAATTATTAAATCTTTGCTAATTCTTCATTGTTCAGGAGGAACTATTTAAGGAAATAAGAAGTATTTTTACATAAGAAAATATTAAGAATAGAAGTGACAATCTAGAAATAAATTAATATACAAGCAATTTTTATTCACTGATTTGTATTAATCAATTAAAATTTAAATGAGTCACCTAAAATTGAATAAGTATGGAGGAGGAACACAGTTATGAGTTTACATAATGACAAATACCTCAATATTAATTAGATAAATGAAACTGATCAGATTTCTCTTGAAAGTAAACATGTATACATATCATGAACACAAATACAAAATACACAGAAAAATCTCTGTCAAACCACCTCTGCCAATCAGCATGTATATATGTTTATGCATAGAAAAGCTATATAAAGGCATAAAAGTAAATTTAATAGTCATGCTTTTTCTTTTATATTTTGATTAACTGCTAACTTTTTTTTATAAAACTCTTAGTAAATTTAAATTAAAATAATTCACTGACCACTTTATATACTGGACTTATGTGAGGCATGTTGGAAATGTTATTAGAAAAATGTCTGTTGGTTTAAAGCCATTTACATTTTTAGAGTCATATATTTTCCATATTAAAAAGACAATGGAGGTAAACTTTTCCATTGCTTTTCAATGATCAAATAATAACTTCTGTTTATTGTGATAGATGCTGTTTATTTATAAGACCTATTGTGTTGGGTCTTCAGATGTCAGGGTTATTCACTGAACCCTGATTGCTGTACCTTAGAGATGCGAGAATGAAGGTTCCAGGAATTGTAGCCCCAGCACAGCTTTTGATGGAAACTATAAAAGAACACCCAGCCTCTGTGCGTGGCTCTAGATCTCAGTTACAAAACTGAAATATCGCAGATATGACCTGTCTCAGTTTGTAGTTCTCCCGCTGTTTATACAACCTTTCATCCAGATATGCATTTGGATATTACCTTGTTCCAAAATGGTCTCTAAAAGATCTAGAACCAAGTACATTGGGTTAAAAGTCATTTGTCTTGATAACTGAGATATAAAAGTGAAGATCAGGTTATTAAAAATCTGGTTTCCATGACTCTTTTATATAAAGGGCTGATTATTATTAAAAATCAGCATCAGTTTTAAATGGCCATGGAGCAAGCAGTTTTAAGTATTTAGACAAAGGATGTGGGCTTACAGATTCAGCCCCAAACAAAATAAAATATTTACCTTTGTTGAGAGTGTTGGCTTTAAAAGCATTTTTTCTTACTATATCAAAGGGCATATTTTATACAAATCAAAAAAGGAAAATATAAACATAATGAACATCTATGAGATTAAAAGCTAACTACTTTCTGTAGTCTTGACCAAATATACACTGTAACCTAAAGAGAATATGCCTGAGTGGACTTAATATCCTGAAAAGTGAAAGTGAAAGTCACTCAGTCGTGTCTGACTCTTTGCAATCCCATGGACTGTAGCCTGCCTGGCTCCTCTCTCCATGGAATTTTTCAGGCAAAAATACTGGAGTGGGCTGTCTTCTCCAGGGGATTTTCCTGACCTAGGAATTGAACTGGGGTCTCCTGCGTTGCAGGAAGTTCTTTGCTGTCTGAACCACTAAGGAAGCCTAAATATAATGCAGATGCTGGTTTCTATCGCTTGTAGATAAGAGAACAAAGCTAAATGCAAAAGAATATGCGTAAACATTTCTTACTCATTTCTTTCAGACTTAGTTCTTTTCCTGTAGGGGTATAGGAGAAAGCAAAAAACCTAACAACAATAAAGCCCAGTTATTGGCTCTCTCCAAGATGATGGTACAGGTTGCCAAGCAGTGCAGTGAGAAGAAGCAGGTAGACCTGGATGTCATCTTGCTCTTGTGTGATGTGCAGTGTTACAACCGCCGCTTAACTGTTCTGAGCCTTGGTAAACTGAGGTAATTCTTAATCTCCCAGGTGTGTCCCATGTAATCTCACACGGTAGGGTTTCCCAGGTGGGCGCCAGTGGTAAAGACCCTTCCTGTCAATGCAGAAGATACAAGAGATGTGGGTTTCATCCCTGGGTCGGGAAGATCCCCTGGAGGAAGGGCGGGCAACCTACCCCAGTATTCTTGCCTGGAGAATCCCATGGACAGAGGAGCTTGGCAGGCTATAGTTCATAGGGTCGCAAAGAATTGGATACAATTGAAGTGACTTAGCACAGATGCAATCTTACTTGTTATATGTGTTCATTACATATAGTCATGCTATATGGTCATGCTAACAGGTAGGGCTGATTCTTAGAGGCATTAGCTTAGACCATATGAAATTGACATTTTTATAGATTTAAAAAATGGCCAAATTTCAGATCTCATTGTAAGGTGGTCCCACCTTAGGAACCTCAGGGGCACTGTTACAGTGAGGCCATAGTGTACACGGCAAGGTCAATTTCCTTGGTGAGTTTTCACCTGATGATCAGGGATGGCCATATTCAGCAGTGACTAGTTTATAAGATACTGGAAATAACATTCACAGCCATGGAACTCTGATCTCTTTGACTATCACACTTCCTAATGTCTACACAGACAAATATTTTATGTCACTAAGGTTAGCATGTTAAACTCACTGCATTTGAGTGGTTACAGCACTGTTTCTGAGTCGCGGGGACACAAGAATCATGGACCACAAGCAGGCTAAAGCAGCCTGCTCTTTCTAATAATACCAATAACATAGGCAAGCCTGTCTATATATTTTTTCTATTTTTTAAAAAAATTTTAATTGGAGAATAATTGCTTTACAGTATTGTGTTGGCTTCTGCCACACAACATGAGTCAGCCACAAGTGCACACACGCCCCTTCCCTCCTGAACCTGTCCCCCCAACCCGCACGCCCATCCCACCCTCTAGGTTGTCCCAGAGCACGGGGTTAAGCCCCCTGTGCCCACACAGCGGGTTTCCACCAGCTCTCTATTTTACACACAATAGTATACATATGTCAGTGCTACCCTCTCAATTCGTCCTACCCTCTCCTTCCCCGCTGTAGCCAAAGTCTGCTCTTTACATCTGTGTCTCTACTCCTGCTGCGCAAATAGTTTCAACAGTACCTTAAAAAACTAGGACTAAAACTACCATATGACCCAGCAATCTCACTGCTGGGCATATACCCTAAGAAAACCATAACTGAAAAAGACACATGTACGCCAATGTTCATGGCAGCACTATTAACAATAGCTAGGACATAGAAGCAAACTAGACGTTCATCAGCAGAGGAATGGATAAAGAACTTGTGGTACACAGATACAATGGAATATTCAGTTCAGTTCAGTTCAGTTGCTCAGTCATGTCCGACTCTTTGCGACCCTGTGAATCGCAGCATGCCAGGCCTCCCTGTCTATCACCAACTCTTGGAGTCCACTCAAACTGATGCCCATCGAGTCAGTGATGCCATCCAGCCATCTCATCCTCTGTCATCCCCTTCTCCTCCTGCCCCCAATCCCTCCCAGCATCAGGGTCTTTGCCAATGAGTCAGCTCTTCGCATGAGGTGGCCAAAGTATTGGAGTTTCAGCTTCAGCATCAGTCCTTCCAATGAACACCCAGGACTGATCTCCTTTAGGATGGACTGGTTGGATCACAAATTTTTACTCAGTCATAAAAAGGAGGCATTTGAGTCAGTTCTAGTGAGGAGGATGAAGCTGGAGTCTGTTATACAGAGTGAAGTAAGTCAAAGAGAAAAACAAGTTTTGTATATTAACACATATATACAGAATCTAAAAAAATGGTACTGTCTGGACTTTTATGATCCATGTACTCTCCTCAAAGCTCTGTTTCAAGATGTTTTCCATTGTTGGTTTCCTTCTCAGTCACTCTCCTTTGCACTTGAGACAGGCGTTTCTGGAAATTTCCACTCAGCAGGATGTAGAGAAAAGGGTTGATGCTACTGCTGGCATAGCTGGGACAAATGGAGAGGTGATATCTCAGATAGAAAGCCACTGAGGGCTGCTTCACCAAGTAAGTTCACCAGTTGCATCACGTGATAGGGGGCGGCACTCAGGATAAAGATTGCCTCCAGCGCCAGCACCATCTTGGTCAGATTCATCACTCTCTGCCTTGGATCACTGAGATTGTAGCTGTAGGGGAAAAGTTTGGAAAGACAGAACATAACCATAGAAATTATGGGCAATGATTTCCCAGAACTCTTTGGACAGTCCATAATAGCTCTGCAGTGAAATGCAAAGTTCATTTTTCTTCCTACTTATTCAGAGTGCTGTAAAAATACCCTTTTTCATCCCATTAAAAATTTCCCTGATTTTCCAAAGCTGGAGAATTTTGAGAAACAAAATAAATAACAAAGGACTTAATTATAATCCAAAGTATCAAATAAAGATGTATGAATCTACATTGATATAAATAATTGAATAATATGTGGGAGAAGAGACAAATCTTTACAGAAAAATTCCAAATAATATATACAGATATTCCCCTTTCCAGGGGTCCAAGGTTAATTCTCACCCTCCTTCTTTTCCCTTTGAGGGTAGACTATACTTAATGACTCATTTTCAAATAATAGAATAGAGGAAGAGATGAATACTAATTTTGTATCAGAGAAGCCTGGCAAATACTTCCTTAACCAGGTGATCAAGATTAACATCAACAGAGCTGTCGTGTAGTTATCACACACCCCCTGACATGTTGTGAGGAGAAGACTTCTCCTAAAATACATAACTAAAGTCTAATCTTGATAAACTATCAGTCAAACCCAGATTGGGGGACATTCTACAGGATACCTACTCAAGTGCTTACTTAAGATTATCAAGGTTATGAAAAACAAGGAAAGACCAGAGGAGACAGCTAAATGCAGTGTGATCTCCTGGACTGAGTCTTGGAACAGAAAGAGGACTTTAATGGTAAAACTGCTGCAGTTCAATACAGGGTAGAGTTTAGTTAGTAGTAATATACCAATGCCATTTTCTTTGTTTTGACAAGTGCATCATGGTAAGATGTTAAGGGGGAAACTGGGTGAGGAATATATGGAAACTCTCTGTCCTATTTTTGCAACTTTTCTGTAAATTTAAATTTATTCTAAAATTAAAAAATACTTAAAATTTCCAAATTTTGTCCTGTTCTGTCATATTGAGACAGTTCATAGAGATTTCTCTGGGACATGACTGAAACAGATGAATAAGCCTGGAGAATATTATAAAATAAAAGCATGGTAGCTGAAAGTCATTCTGAGATAGTGATTCTTCTGCAGCTCATCAGAGTAGGCTCCAATATCCCTCTAACTTATTGCCTTTGAAGGATAACTGGACAGTATGAACTTTTTTCATAAGATGCTCTTAACATTTCTGAGAAAAGTGTTAGGAGCAGAGTGATCTGATTTGGAGAACTGTTTTAAAAGAGCTTGAGTATCCTCTCCAGCTGTCAATGTCATAATATTCCATATGCTTCCATTTCAACCTTTTCACCAACTCAGCTCCCCATGATACATTTAGAAACTATCTTTTTCCTGTAACTGTGGCTGCTTCCTGTTCTCATTCTAAATAGACTGCTTTAAAAATAATATAATATATCCAAATAATTTAAAGAAGTCAATAAAAATGTCATGGGTCAATAGACCACCTAAACCTCTGGTACAAGGTTCTGCCACAAATTTTTACTAATGGTGGTAAGATAGTTCACATATTCTTTTTTTAAAAAAACCTTCACCATGTTATGTATCATGTATGGAGAAACCCAGCAACTTATCTTTTCAAAAGAAATACAATGATATATTCTAAAGACAAATTTTAATAATGATCTATAACCTAACATATAATCACTGACTCATTTGAACAACTTGATATATACAATTTCAGTGGAAAATAATTTATATTTATTCATGTAGCTTTAGAGATAAGTTCATCTAAAGGTAGACTTCCCCAGGGGTTCAGTGGTAAAGAATCCACCTGCAAATGCAGGAGACGTGGGTTTGATCCCTGGGTTGGGAAGAGCTCCTGGAGAAGGAAATGGCAACCTACTCCAGTATTCTTGCCTGGAAAATTCCATGGACAGGAGGAGCCTGATGGGCTATAGTCCATGGGGTCACAAAAGAGCCAGACACAAGTTAGTTACTAAATGACAAACAACAGCAAATATTTAAAGATCCTTCCTAAGTTTATTGTCTTTAGGTAAGTTTTTGGCTTTATTTAGTCTTAATTGACTTTATTCTAAGTATTCAAATATTAATGAAATCCTGCTTTTCTACACTAAAAAGTCACAAAAATGAAAAGGCTATAAATTATACACAATATCTAGGATTTTTATATATGTACACAACTCTGCAAAATGTACAAATAAAACATTTAAATAACAGTGCTGATGACATTCATTTTTATGAAACCATTACATCATTAATTTCAATATTTATCACTGAGAGATCCTCAAATAGCTGCTTCAGAACATGACTTGTTTTCTGAAAATGCCTTATATAGACATTAATGCCCATATGTCTGAGCTTGGCATGTTTCAAGTGACTGTTGCTTAAGTTTGTTTTGTAGATATCATAGAATTCTGAATTGTTCTTTTAACAAATAAGGCATACACTTACCATCTTGCATCCTTATTCTGTTGATACATGTCCCAAGTATAGCATAAAATTAAAATATAGTGCATCAAAATCAAGGGCAAAGAGAAAAAGAAACTTATTATCATCACATACAGAGTATACCTATAAAATGAGAGAGAGGACATGACTGTTACATTCACAATGCTAGAACTGACTTTCACAGTTTTATGATTCTCTGATTTTTCAGGGCCCAGAATAACAGTGCTTGGAGCAAAAGTTAAGGATCTCTGGGTCCTTTCACATCCAGAGGTGTGAAGTTAGAGAGAGGACATGACTGTTACATTCACAATGCTAGAACTGACTTTCACAGTTTTATGATTCTCTGATTTTTCAGGGCCCAGAATAACTGCTTGGAGCAAAAGTTAAGGATCTCTGGGTCCTTTCACATCCAGAGGTGTGAAGTTATGCTTTTCATTATTCACAGACAACGACTCTTCCCTTGCCAGCCCTTCTCAGCAGCCAACGCTACTGAGTACAGAACTAGTGAGTGTGCTTATTATTGTTATTATATATAGTGTTATTAGCAACAAGAGGCCACAGGTCGCATTTGTTCTGTAGCAGGCACTGTTCTGGGTGCTTTACTTATTTTAACCCACTGAATCTGTGCATCCCGGTGAATACAATGTCAGTAGCATCTTCATTTTGTAGAACAGGAAACTAAGGCACAGGTTACAAGCTGAGTAAGTTATGTGGCTTGCCTATGGTTACTCACGTAGTAAGTGGCAGAGGTGAGATTTGAAGCCAGTGGTAACCGAGGCTCCAGATATCCTCTCAATGGGCACCCAGGAAGTGGGTGTGCATGCTTACTTGCTCAGTCTTTCTGACTCTTGTGACAGCAGGCACTGTAGCCCGCCAGGCTCCTCTGTCCACGGGATTCTCCAGGCAAGATTACTGGAGTGGGCCTCCATTCCCTTCTCCAGGGGAATCTTCTCTGCCCAAGGATGGAACCCAGGTCTCCTGCAGATTCTTTATCTTCTGAGCCAGCAGGGAAGCCCCAGGAGGACCTGTTGTCAAATCAGCTATTATTTCCCGATCCTCCACCAGGGGGAGCTCTTGCGTGCGCTAGCTCCGTTTCTGCAGAGACACCCGGTGTCCTTCCTGGCACAACTCTGGGGTCCTGTGCTATATGCTCTGCTTAGTCCTCAGTCGTGTCCGACTCTTTGTGACCCCATGGGCTGTAGCCCTCCAGGCTCCTCTGTCCATACTCCAGGCGAGAATACTGGAGTGGGTTGCCATGTTCTCCTCTAGGGCATCTTCCCGACCCAGGGATCAAACCTGGGTCTTCCACATTACAGGCAGATTCTTTACCATCTGAACCACCGGGGAAGTCCAAGCGCTCTGGAGTGGATAGCCTATCCCTTCTCCAGGGGATCTTCCCGACCCAGGAATTGAACGCGGTCTCCTGTATTGCAGGCGGATTCTTTACCAGCCGAGCTACCAGGGAAGCCCTGGAAGAAGGCAACCCGGATTGGGTGGGTGTGGACAGGGTGGCAGAGAAGAGCCCTGGGACCACAGGGCTTCTGAACATAGCACGCTAGTCCCAGCCTTTCGTTCGTCTTGAGGACTTAATTCTGAGAGAAACAATAGAGGCTGAAACCTCAGAATGTCCCTTACCATAACCAGCATTAAGGAGCAGAACCAGCTGTAGGTGCAAAATAGTTAGTCTTTGTTTATTCGACACAGGCCAAAATCTTGTAGTCGTAGGGTGAGCTTCAGGTCCTGCCCTCCTTTTAGACAGGTGGGGTCCAGGTTAATCTATCAGCCCACCATGATTAAACATCACTTCTCCTTGAGATGGGCTGATGCATTCTGTCTGTGAGTGGACCAGCGCTGGTGTGAGAAATAGCAAATAAGCAATCATGGTATCAATTTCACTGTTGCACTTCTCTGGAGATTTCTTGCTGCTGGGTTCTTGGCCTTGGCAGGCCTCTGGCTCCATCCCTCTGGGGCTGTGTCTATGTGATGCAGAAATGCCTCATCTGTTTGACAAGTGGTGGTATAGGAAAAAGGAATCTGCCAGACTGACTTGCCATAATGCATGTAAAAAGCACCAGCACAATACCTGGCCCTTAGCAGGAGATCAAAACATTTTAGTTAGGGGTTCCAAATGCTCTGTTGAAAGTTTCAACTAGAAAAATTTTGACCTGGGTTCGATCCCTGGTCCAGGGAAACCCCACATACCTTGGAGCAACTAAGCCTGCTAGCCTCAACTACTGACCCTTGTGCGTCTAGAGCCCATGCTCCTCAAGGAGAAGCCGCCGCAATGAGAAGCCTGTGCCCCGCACCTAGAGAGTAGACCCCACTCTGCAGCTAAAGAAAGCCGGTGTGCAGCAGCAAAGACCCAGCACAGCCGAAAATAAATACCCGAATCTATAAACAATTAAAACATAAGAAGTGCCCGTGTAGGTTGCTGTCCTGGTTTCCTAGAACTGCCCGTAACAAATTACCACACGCCGGATGGCTTCACATGACAGAAATTTGTCTTTCAGTTCTAGAAGCTGGAAGTCTTAAATCAAGGTGTTGGCAGAGTTGTTCCTTATTGAGGTTTTGAGCATGTGCTCTCCCAGCCTCCCTGGAGTTGTATGGTCATGCTTGGTGTTCCCAGCTTACAGACACATCACTCCAGTATCTGCTTCTGCATGCTCTCTATGTGTCTCTGTAAATCTTCCTCTCCTTATCAGGCCTCAGTCACTGTATTTAGGGCCCACCCTAACCCAGTAAGACGTCATCTCAAATTGATCATATCTGCAAAGACCCCATTTCCATGTAAGATCATATCCACAACTGCTAAGAATTAGGACTCGGATAGATCTTTCCCAGGGACCCAACCAAACTCCAGCTGCATGTTGTTAAGGTTTGAGTCTCAGAACTCCAGACCCTTCTGTGATGTCCACCTGTCCCTTGATTGCTGTGTCTCCATTGAAACTGGCCTGCATGGGTCTTTAAAATACATATTTAAATATAGTTGCACCCATTGAGGTTACATGATTAAGTGCAAAATTTTTTTCTAAAGGTTACCCCGTCCTTAAAAAAATCAAACTATCGACTTGATGGTGGGAAGCAGAGAACTTCAGTGGAGGGACTGGCCCGGAGAGGCTCCCCGAGGACACTCCGTGTGGCTGCTCACGTGTTCACAAGGAGGATGAAGCACTTCACAGCTTAATTCAACTCTATTTTTCTTAAGTTTTAACAACCTACCAGAGTACATCGTCAGGGGATGTTAAATCAAAAGCACAACTCTCAGCGCCGTCTTTAAATTTGATGACCTTCGAGTAGACCCAGACAGGCAACACCAGAATGAAGGAAGCTGCCTGGAGGCCCAGATTGATGCAGATTGTCTTGTTCCTGGTTATCCAGCTTGTCAGTCGAAATGGCTGGACGAGAGCCAAGTACCTGCAAGGCCAGTGGAGAAGGGTTTGGGAACAATCAATAAAAGCACTGAGCTCCAAGGATGAAAGGTTCATGACAAGAGTAAATTATTAGTATTATGATCCTCCCTGAAGCACACCTCTATCAGGGTGAAAGAAAGTTATATTTTTTAAGAGCTGGCCGGTACTTGTAGAGAAAACAATTCTTGACCCTGTAAGCCTGAATAAACCACTCACTGATACACAGCAGTCACTTCCATAAAGACCCTGAAAAACTCTGCCATGCAAACTTTTTTAGGTTTGCTGACCCTTGTATATCTATTTATTTATTTGGCTGTGCTGGGTTTTAGCTGTGGTCTCAGTTGTGGCACATGGGATGTGGCATGCGAGATCTTTAGTTGTGGCATCCAAAATCCTCAGTTGCAGCATGTGGGATCTAGTTCCCTGACTAGGGATCGAACCCTGGCCCCCTGTGTTGGGAGCACGGAGTCTCAGCCACTGGGATCACCAGGGAAGTCCCATAACCCTTTTCTTTACAAAGGTGCTTCCCTTGTGCAGGAGGCTCTGGAAAACTGCCTCTGAATGAGGGCAGGGAGATTCCCTCCAGATGGGAGTGGCCTGCTTCCCAGGAAGGTGTACGGATGTAGGACAGGAAGGAGGAAGGAGCGATGGCTGGTGGGAGGATCCCCAGCAGCATGAGGTTCGGGCCCCTGGGACAGACATCCTGCTTAGATGGCGTTAGAGTCAGGGCCAAAGGCTCTTAGATGTTCAGGTCACAGAACGAACAGTGAGAATAATCAAACACGCCTAGCACAGACAATGCAAATCCCTCAGAGAACTGAAGCTTGAGGCTGATGGGGGTGTGGAAATGGATTAATTTCATGGGGAAAGGGTTCTCTTTTTCTTTTTTTCCCCCATTTTGATCCAGAAAAAAAGATAATCATTAATTAGACTTGAAAATCCTGATAGAGCAAACATGTTTGGTCCTCCGGCAAATCCAGGAATGATTTTTCAGAGACAAGCTAAAGTATGAAAAAGAGAGCTCAGATCCAGAGGAGGGGATTTGAGAAAGCACAGTTTTGAGGGGCCTGGGGGCTATAGGAAAGCAGGATTAGTGGGCATTCAATAAATGTGAAATATGGTCTATGGTCCATTAATTTTCTCCAAGATTTTGTAGAGCTACTTAATGAAGATTTATGAAAATGGAAGTCTCTCTCTCCTTGCTTTTCAATTCTTCACTCAGTTAAGGGAGCCCTTGCAGGGACAGACTTGTGGCCCCGGGTACCTCAGCCACCCCTCCTTCCCCACACTGCACCTGCGTTACCAGTCACCTGTCGCTAAGGAGACAAACTCCCCTTCCCTCCCTGCTGAGGAAGGGAATAGGTAGTGATTGTAAGCAGCCCCTCCATCTTTCTGTCTGGGATCAAAGACAATGGAGTCACGGCGTCAGTGGGTTAGGGAATGGTCTCTGATGACCTTCCCAGCTGAAAGTCCTTCAGTGACTTTTCTTTGCCTTTCAGATAAAATTCAGAGTTCTTACCATGACTCTTGAGGTCCTTTTCCACCTGGCCTTCCTGTCACCTAGGCTGAAGTTTGTGCCCATCTCTGGCCTTCGCTCAAGTTCTGTGTCTTGCAGTACCAGGCACCTGCTATTCAGCCCATCTGGCAGGACCTGCCTCTAGTTCCTGCTGCCTTTCCTATCATCCCCATTAGGTCTCCCTCTTGGAGAAGCTTCCCCTGACCACTCACTCACTCTATACAAGGGCTCATGACTATAAATTTGGATTTTAGGGGACTCTACTTTTCCTTCCTAGGATGTATCATTGTGTGGAAATAGTAATACATATTTACCCATGTGACTTTTCACAGAATGTCTGTCTACACCTCTGGAATGGAAGCACCATGACGGCAGGAGCCTTGGCTATTAGTTTAATGCTGCTGCATCTCATGTGTCTTGCATGGTTCCTGGCATATGGTCCCTGCTCAATACATAGTTGTTAAATGAATGAATAGGGAATTTTGGATTCTTTTTACTGGCTTGGTTGTTGTTCAAGAAAATTTAATTTAAAAAGTAACCACTAAAAAAAAAAAATAAAAAAATAAAAGTAACCACTAACAAAAGTCTAGGTAGCTTTCACCTGGAGGCAAATATTTTTAATATTTTGGGTGTTTAAATTTTTTTTCATATGACTTTAAAGGTAGGAACCCACTATTAAAATATTTCACATACTTGCAATTATTAACTAATCAGAGAAAGGAAAATCAAAGAGTTTGGGGAAACACTTGATATTTATGGCCTACTGAATTGGAGATCAAACCAGTCAACCCTAAAAGAAGTCAACTGTGAATATCCGTTGGAAGGACTGATGCTGAAGCTGAAGCTGCAACACTTTGGCCACCTGATGCAAAGAGCTGACTCACTGGAAAAGACCCTGATGCTGGGAAAAATTGAGGGCAGGAGGAGAAGAGGAGAGAGGACAAGATGGTTGGATAGCATCACTGACTCAATGGACGTGAACTTTAGCAAACTCCAGGAGATGGTTAAGGACAGGCAAGCCTGGCATGCTGCAGTCCATAGGGTCACAAAGAGTTAGACATGGACTTAGGGACTGAACAAGTTGAAAATTAAAATAAATGTATAAATAATACCAAATACTGATGGCACTGACATTTAGTTTTGGTTATTACAGAGAAAACTTCATTCTGTTTTACAAAATTACACATTTCCTTGAATTTTTATGAATTTAGTAGAGTTAGAACTACAAGAAATTCCAGAGGCTGGGAAAAAAGTTCAGTGTTACAAAATCTTCATTTGTCTCTGGCTATGTGATCCTCTGGGGGAAAGATAAAGGCCTGAGTATCTTTATTTGAAAGTAAAACCTTAGCATTTTGTGGCCATAAGTTTTAAAAAAAAATACATGCTATTCAATTGTGTAAGATACACACACACACATATACACACTCAGAAAAACCCTGTGAAGATTAGGAAATGTTCTGTGGTCTGTTCTAAGGCAGACAATGTGCTTTCACTTTATTTGCAGTAAGAGGTTTACAGAAGAGGTTCAGTTTCCCCTCTTAAAAGAAAAAGCCAATACTCTTCTGCCTTCATGGTACGTATGCGGTATGAAGAAGCTTTTCTTCTTCTGAGAATGGGATCACAACAGTGAGGCTCGTACTTTCAGCTGCTTCTCTGCAGTGCTTCCTGCCCTGCACAGGGTCCTGCCCTGGTGTTGGAACCCTAAACTTACCAGGCTTTATTCCACACACTGTGAGCTTTGGTGGCATCAGCTGAACTAACCAGATCTACCTACCTAGCATGTAGATTAAAAAATGTGATGTTAATTGTAAGTTGAGAAATATACTCTGCATATTTTGAGAATTCTTTTGTAGAAAAGCAGCAGGATTGAAAAATGCATTAAACATTACCATCATTATTCATGCCTGAATAATAATGATCCAGCAAATTTGATTTATAGGAATGCTGCTATTCCTTTGTTCAGCCATCTGATGAACTGCTTATACCTTCCCAACCCTAAAAGGCCCTGTTGGAAAGGTAAAAGAGGCAGAGCTCAAGAAAGAGTCCTCCATGGACTCAGAGAAATTTAAGACTAACATTCATTCATTCATAATAGCGTTTGAGTGCCCATATGCCAGGCACTGTTACACAGACACTTGGAATGTACTAGTGATCAAAGACCCTGCTTTTGTGTAATTCACATTCAATGGGTGGGGGAAGCTAGACAAGAAACAATGCACACTTATCTCTGTATACCAAGGAAATTAAAGTCTGTAATATGTTCAGAGCAAGAGAGAAAGAAAAAGTAGATCAGAGCAAGAGGGACTAAGTGTGCTGGGTTGGGACTGGGGTGGAAAGAAGGTGGATGGAGATTTTACATGGGTTTTTCTCTGAGTGGGCGAATTACTGTTGTGCTTTTTACTGTTGTCTTCAGGATTTGTTTCTGTTTGGGGCATGCTGCTAAGACCTGGTGTGAAAGTCCATACCATCTAGATGTCACAGGGAACATCCTAACACCCTAGCTCACATGCTTCCTACAAGAAGTCAGATGGTGAGGTAGTTGCCAGCTACCTGCCATCTCTAGAGTTGGACAGCCTGGCACTGAACTGGGCTTCACCACTCACTGGCTCCACAAACATCTCACCATCACCATCATCTCCTTGAGTAACATTAGCTTACGAGTTTGGTAAACATGTATGACATGTTCTGGGATTGTTGTTCAGTTGCTAAGTCGGGTCCAACTCTTGGCAACCCCACGGCCTGCAGCAGCCCAGGTTTCCCTGTCCTTCACTATCTCCCCAGGTTTGCTCAAATTCATATCCATTGAGCTGGTGATACAGTCTAATCATCCAGTCCTCTGTTGTTCCCTTCTCCTTTTGCCTTCAATCAATGTTCCGGGATATGTCTGGTGATGTAAAATGGCAGCATTTGCATTAATTGATCTTAATAGTGAGTGCCAAGGATGGTCTTCTTGTAACTCTGACTTCTCTTCATGGCCATGAAGGAGCCCTCTATTCCATGTATTCTCTAAAGCCGCTAGGTGATAACAAGGGTCTGTGAGATGTAGAACTTACCAGAAAGAACCCTGAACAGGGAGTGAGGAGAGCCACTTCAGTTATCAGCTCTGCCACTGACTCTGTGTGTCTTTAGCCATTTCCGTTACTTCTCAGGACTTTGGCTGCCTTCTTGCAATAATGATGGGCAGGCGTGGGGGGAGTGAATTCATTCTGGTTGCTAGTATTTCATGATTTTGTGGGCTTTTTTCTTGAAGTCAATTGTAAATGAAACTGAGTTGGAAAGAATGATTGGGGAAGAGGAAATGTTCAGTGTTTTAAGTTTTCCATTAAAAAATGGACCTCTGTGAAAGTTGGCAAAATATTAACTTGTTTGTCCTACAATGAAACAAATGAATGGAGAGGAGCTTTGCTATTACAAACCAGCACTGATGTTGCTGAAATTGGGATGGCCTCGGGGAAGTACAGGAACCTCTAGATTAGGCTGAGATATTTCAGAATCTCTTCACTTACCTGTCCACACTCGTTACAGTCATGATGGCACGACAGGCAAACTGGTTGCAGGTATCCAGGGATGTGATGATCCTGCAGAGAGGCCCCCCAAACACCCACTGTCCTCCTTGGGCATTCCAATGATGTGGACCAGATCAGCCACAGCCAGGCTACAGATAAAAATGTCAGGAATCATTTTTTTTCCTGGACCTAAAAGACATGGAGGGATAGCTGAGGATTGACATCGAGAGGGTACACCTTCAGTTTATGCCATCTGTTAACAGATTTTTCAATTGCTAAAATTGAGTTTAAAAGTTAAAAGGAAAGCACCACATATGCACATATGAATGCCTTGTCTTGTGTATATTCAAGTATTTTAAACTATTTGTTTGATAACTGCCTGCCTTGGTTTAAAAATATGTCCACAAATTCTTTGATATTGCTTTCAGGAGGGTGTGGCCCAATTCCCTCCCTTTGAGAGTGGATTGAACTTAGTAACTCACTTTTAGTGAATAGGATGTGGTGGAACTGAGAGTATGACATTTGAAATTTGGACATAAAGGCACGGAGGGGTTTTCTCCTTGCTATCTCTTGGATTGCTTTCTCTGGGAGAAGCCAGCTGCCCTCTTGTGAGATAATTCAAGTATCACTATAAAGAGGTCCACGTGGAAAGGAAGCGAGTCCTCCTGCCAACAACCAGCACCAGCTTGCCAGATCTGTAAGGGGGCGACCTGGGGATGGATGCTCCAGTCCCAGCCAAGCCTCTGGATGGTCATCTAAAAATGCACGGCTCGACTGCAACAGCGAGAGAGACGCTGAGCCAGTCACCCAGCAAGGCTGCTCCTGACCCGCAAAACTGTGAGAGAGCAAATGTTGATTGTTTTAAGCCACTGTTTTTTTTTTAATATAACATAACCATGTTTATTTAAGAATGCATTCCAATATCAAATGGAAAAGTTCAACAATGCAAAATTGAAATTATTTTTGCCCCAACATAATAATTTTACACATGGTAATACACATGTTTCAGTGCTACTCTCTCAATCCCACCCTCTCCTTCCCCCGCTGTATCCATTAGTCCATTCTCTATGTCTGTGTCTCCGCGGCTGCCTCGAAGATAGGTTCATCAGTACCATCTTTCTAGATTCCATATATGATATTTGTCTTTCTCTTTCTGATTTACTTCACTCTGTATAATATGCTCTAAGTTCATCCAGCTCATTAGAACTGACTGAAATATGTTCCTTTTTGTGGCTGTGATATTCCATTGTGTGTGTATATATGTATATATATATACCACAACTTCTTCATTCATTAATCTGTCAATGGATATCTAGATTGCTTCCATGTCTTAGTTATTGTAAATAGTGCTGCAATGAACATTGGAGAACATGTGTCTTTTTCAATTATGGTTTCTTCAGGGTATATGCCCCATAGTGGGATTGTTGTCATAGGTAGTTTTATTCCTAGTTTTTTAAGGAGTCTCCATACTATTTTCCATAGTAAGCCACTAAGTTTTGAAGTAATTTCTACACAGCAACAAATTATACCAACTCTAAACTCACTCATGCAAAAGACTGGATTTACCTATCCCTAGTATCAAATATGGAGAAGGCAATGGCAACCCACTCCAGTGTTCTTGCCTGGAGAATCCCAGGGACGGTGGAGCCTGGTGGGCTGCCGTCTATGGGGTTGCACAGAGTTGGACACGACTGAAGCGACTTAGCAGCAGCAGAATCATCAAATACAGCTAAACAGGAAAAATAAATGTTTCCACTGGGCAATGTGATTTTTTTCCCTCCACTGAAGCTGTTAAGTTCAAATCTCAACTGAAGCCATTGTTAAAAAAAATTTCAACCATTACTTAGAAAGATTCCAATAAAATCTAACTCAAAGAAAAGCCTATTAATTAAGACCTTGAAATCCAGACTGTGTAGAGTAGACATATGAAATGACTGAGCAGGAGGTGAGAGAGCTTTCCATTCTCCTGTTTGGGAAAATGAAAGCAAAAGAATTTTCTGAGAGCAGAAATTTTAATGTAAAATTCACTTGATCCCTATTGTCAGAGTTGGGACATTCAGTAATAAACATGTATCACTTTTATCTAGGAGATATTATTTATTAATTCAACAAATATCTTATTGAACACCAGTTATATGTCAGGCATAGTATTGTGCTTTGGGCTGCAAAGGTAAATAACCTATAAACCCTAATATCAAGAAGCTTATAGTCTAAGCATAGGTAAATAAGTGATGACTTTACAATGTTATGAAAGAAAGCTAGAAAAAGCACAAGGAGCACATAAAAATAGTCTCTCCTCTCTCCTCTGGGGTGGTCAAGGCATATATCTTGGAGGAAGTGGCATATGTACTGAGAACATATAAAGATTTAAATAGCACAGAAGAATCAGCCTTAAGATTACACCACAATTACTAGTTCACTCTGGATCTGGTGCTATTGCTTTCTTATTTGAAAGCTAGTGGGTGTCTTCGTTATCCAGGGCCCACAAATTCTACAGCCTATGAACTTTACGTCTAAGCCATCAAAGGCTCATGTGAGGCATCAGTCAGGGCCAGGATATTTTACCCAGGCCCTGGCCCCACACACCATGTGAGGAAGTTTCTGCCATCAAATCCTTACTCAGCAACACACTCTGGGCATTGTTGAGTGACTCATATTAGAAAAACCAAGAAGAGTGTTGAGGAAAAAATCATGTCAACCAAAAGAGCTGCTAAGTGGATGTTCTTGGTCTCTAACCCTTTGTGCCCTCCAGGTTTTCCTCCAGGAGAAGGGTCAGTGCGGAGGAACTGACACTAGAGGTCAGCTGGGAAAAAAAAAGCAGAAACACAATAATATAAAATCCTATAACTCTTAGTCTGTTAAATAGATGTTATTTCCATTTGAATTGGGATATAACCCATAAGTGGTTGCATAGGTCCTAATGCAGCAATTAACCTGTTACCCTTGCTCTCCTTCAGACAGGTGACCAACATTGACTGATTAGGAATTATGGTGATTCCTTTGTTGAGGATCGTGCAGGTCATTGCCTGGAAATTCAAAAGAATTAAATAAAGTGTTTCTAGATGACACTGTCTATAGCAAAAGAGAATTCTGAAGCAAGTGATATATTTATCTGGTCATAGATACTAGGGCAACAAGTATAACACATCCTATTATTGCTTTTTTTTTTTAACTGAAAGTAACACCATACAAATTAAAAGTAATTAAATAGGAATGGTAAATTTTCTAAGTATATAACCTGTATTCTCCTTTTAGGTCTAATTAATCTTCAGATTTCCTGTTGTCAGACTTCATCAGATTTCTGTTTCTTACGAACCAAACATTTAAAATAAAAAGATGTAAACCAATGATCATTTCAGCTAACATGTTTTCCATATGGTTAATATGACTGTGTCTAAATATGATAAACTAAGGTATACCACAATACCACGCAATAAATGATATTGTTCAGTCGCTCAGTCGTGCCTAACTCTTTGCCACCCCATGGACTGCAGCACACCAGGCTTCCCTGTCCTTCACTGTCTCCCAGAGTTTGCTCAAACTCACGTCCATTGAGTCAAGGGTGCCATCCAACCATCTCATCCTCTGTCACCCTCTTCTCCTGCCTTCCATCTTTTCCAGCATCAGGATCATTTCCAGTGAGTCAGTTCTTCACATCAATTGGCCAAAGGATTGAAGCTTCAGCTTCAGCATCAGTCCTTCCAATGAATATTCAGGGTTGATTTCCTTTAAGATTGACTGGTTTGATCTCCCTGCAGTCCAAGGGACTCTCAAGTCTCCTCCAGTACCACAATTTGAAAGAATCAATTCTTTGGTGCTCAGCCTTCTTTATTGTCCAGCTCTCACATCCATACATGATTACTGGAAAAACCATAGCTTTGACTATATGGACCTTTGTTGGCAAAGTAATATCTCTGCTTTTTAATACACTGTCTAGGTTTATCATAGTTTTTCTTCCAAGGAGCATGTATCTTTTAATTTCATGACTGCAGTCATGATATGGTTTTTACAAATCATACTTTGGAAGAATATTTAATCAAATGGGAAAGTGAAAATGTTAGTTGCTCAGAGATGTCTGACTGTTTGAGACCCAATGGACTGTAGCCCACTAGGCTCCTCTGTCCTTGGGACTTCCCAGGCAGGAATATTGGAGTGCATTGCCATTCCCTCCTCCAGGGATCTTCCCATCTCAGGGATCTAACCTGGGTCTCCTGCACTGCAGGCAGATTCTTTACTGTCTGAGCCACAGGGAAGCCCAAATGGGAAAATACTTATTGAATAAAAAGAAACATCAACTATGTAACTAGTTATGACCCCAAACTTATTTAAAGTACACTGAAATAGTATGTCTGAGCAATCACAGTAATTATCTGTTTGATAGTAGCTGTATGATTGATTTTGACTTATTCTTTATATGTTTAATGTATAAGAGAAATTCTATTAAAAATGTTTTCTTTTTGCAGCCAGAAATAACCATATCTCAGTTCAGTTCAGTTGCTCAGTTATGTCTAGCTCTTTGTGACACCATGGACTGCAGCACGCCAGGCCTCCCTGTCCATCACCAACTCCCGGAGTTTACTCAAACTCATGTCCATTGAGTTGGTGATGCTATCCAACCATCTCTTCCTCTGTAGTTCCCTTCTCCTCCCACCTTCAATCTTTCCCAGCATCAGGGTCTTTTCAAATGAGTCAGTTCTTTGCATCAGGTGGCCAAAGTATTGGAGTTTCAACTTCAGCATCAGTCCTTCCAATGAATATTCAGGACTGATACCGGTTGGATCTCCTTGCTGTCCAAGGGACTCTCAAGAGTCTTCTCCAACACCAAGCATCAATGCTCCGGCACTCAGCTTTCTTTATAGTCCAACTCTCACATCCATACAAGACCACTGGAAAAACCATAGCCTTGACTAGATGGACCTTTGTTGGCAAAGTAATTTGCTTCTTTTTAATATGCTGTCTAGGTTGGTCATAACTTTTCTTACAAGGAGCAAGTGTCTTTTAATTTCATGGCTGCAGTCACCAT